CTCTCTCTCTCTCTCTCTTGAAAGAGACTTAGTAGCTTTAATTAATTAATGCATTGATCAATGAATTAATAAGGTGGCTGCAACCTTGTAGAAGACTCTGGTTGTCTGATGTTGCTAAGCTGACAAAGCTATAGCTAGCCCAGTCATCAATGCCATCAGAGATGTGAGAAGGATAAATTTTATCTGAGTGCAGACTTCCAAATCTATTAAAAAATGACATAGACTATCCATTACCCAGACTATCATCATCCCAGGCTCCTGTAGTCTTCATAGATTTGGCAGGACAGGTGTCAGGACAGCATCAGTCTTGGCTGTCGGGCCCATAACATTGTCCATTCTGGGCAGTATCCCTGGCAGCAGGTGTTGAGTTGGGGCATCTTGCCCAGTGGTCGGTGTTGTCAACAATTCAGGTGATGTCATCATGTTGTTGTTCATTATCTTCTTTGGAGACCTTGGAAGTCATTGCTAGGAGCTGAGTCTCTGTTTGCTAAAGTAAGCTTTTTATTAAATAATTTAAATGCCATATTCATCGCATATTTGATGGGTTTGAGGACCATTATCTATTTTTTTTTTTTTTTTGGTTTTTTTTTCGAGACAGGGTTTCTCTGTGTAGCTTTGCGCCTTTCCTGGAACTCGCTTTGGAGACCAGGCTGGCCTCGAACTCACAGAGATCCGCCTGGCTCTGCCTCCCGAGTGCTGGGATTAAAGGCGTGCGCCACCACCGCCCGGCCACGAGGACCATTATCTATTAAATACATCTGAGCCAAACAAATCTAGGCCTAATCTTGAAAATGTTTCTAAGTTTGGTAACAATAACCAGGCCAATTTGTTATCCTGTAGATGTATTAGTCAAATGGACCTCTCAGGTTCTGTTTTTTCTTCTTTAAATAGCTTATAATTAAATAAGAGTTAATAGTTTATGCTTATATAGTATCTGGATAGCTGGATGACTAGTATTAACTTGTATTCCTTAACACAGAGGACATGCAAACTCAGACACTCAAAACCAAACATACACATGGCCATGTCTTCATCCATACCTACAGAGTAGACAGACATTTTTAAAACTATAAACCTTTGGAGTCTCAATGTAACAGTAGAATAGCAAGAGCAAGAAAACTGAAACATGTTTCATTCTTTTATACACCTCAAATTACTTCCTTTTATCATTACTTAAGCCTTTTCATCCTCAGACCTTCATAACTTGCTTTTACACACCCCAATAACTTGCATTTCATATATCTTAAGTTACTTTCCTTCTTCCCAAAACTTTCTTTTTATATCCCCATACCTAAAGCCTTTACATCTTAGACCCTTTATAAACTTTACTTATATTCAAGCCTCATAACTTATTTTAACTTTAAAGCTCCATATTTTATTTCTCAAATTATCTCTTCAGACCCAAAACCATGTTTATTTAAACCTTCATGACATATTTAGGCCTTCATATTTTTATGTCTTAAATTGCTTCCTCAAACCAAAAAATCATTTATTCAAACTTTCATCCTTATATCTTTTTAAGCCTTTATATTCTTATAAAAATATTACATCCTGAAACATCTTTTTTTTTCTATTTAATTCATCAAGCAATCCTCTACTTGGAATTTGATACTTTTTTTTCCCTTATCTTAACCAATATTGGTTTGTAACCAATTCTCTTAAGTGATGGCAAGTATTCACATTCTTGCAGTGCACGCGAGGGCCAGAAGAGGGCGTCAGATCCCCAGTACTGAACTTGCAGATGATTGTGAGCTGCCATGTGGATGCTGGGAATCAAACCCAGGTCCTCTAGAAATGTTTTTAACCACTGAGCCATATTGATAGCCCCAAAACATTAATTTAAAACATTGTTCTGAGAGTTTTAAATTGTGTTGCAGTATGACCTACTTTTTTTTTTCTTTTTGGAATATCTGAGGTCTTTGTGTCACAGGACCCAGCCTTTATACATATGACACGTGCTTGAGTTGCAGTCAGCAGCAAAGTCAATTGTTTTCTTTAGTTTAAAATTATGTGTTATTGTTGTTGATGGTGTGTGTGTGTGTGTGTGTGTGTGTGTGTGTGTGTGTGTGTGTGTGTATGTGTGTAGGGGCACGGGTGCCAGGGCACGCACGTGGAGGCTGGAGGAGTTTGCTCCTCCTTCTGTGGTCCCGAGGACTGTCAGGCTTGCAGGGCAGTGTCTCTACCCACCGAGCCACCTCACTGCCCCTGTTTTTGTTTATTTTATTTCTTTATTATATAGTACAGATATATTCTTTTTTTTTTTTTTTTTTTTTTTGGTTTTTCGAGACAGGGTTTCTCTGTGTAGTTTTGCGCCTGTCCTGGAACTCACTTGGTAGCCCAGGCTGGCCTCGAACTCACAGAGATCCGCCTGGCTCTGCCTCCCGAGTGCTGGGATTAAAGGCGTGCGCCACCACCGCCCGGCTACAGATATATTCTTAATTGTGTGTAGATTTTGGGGTGAGGTATATGAGGCTTTTGCTGAATCGCTCGCTTCCTTCATTTCCCTCCCTCCTAATGTCTTGTAGGTGACTCTTCCGGTTGTCATGGTGACTACCTTTCTGTCTAAAGGAATTCGTGTCATTATGGTTTTTGGGAATATTTCCCGGATGATTCAGACTTATCTTTGGAGTTGGACACTCTGCTTGTGTGTATTCTGAGTGACTCAGTAGTGGTGATGGGGCCCAGAGCCCTCTGTGAGCACCTGCTTATGCTGAGCTTGAGGCAGTCTCTGCAGACCTGAGTGTGGGAGCCTGTTCTTTAAAACAAAACAGTCTGAAAATATCCTACGCTTATACAACGTATTTTGATAAGTGATATCCACCCCACACTCCTCCGCCATGCCTCACAGCACCCCTCCTCATATCCCTCTCCCAACTTCATGTCATCATCTTTTTTTTTTTTTTTTTTAAATAACCCACTGAATCCAATAAGTGCTGCGTGTGTGTGCATGGGCATGTGGCCATCCACCAGAGCACAGGCAAACTTAGCAGCAGCCACTCCATCAAAGAAAAGTGACCACCCCCTCCAGCAGCCATCAACTGCCAACAGCTCCTCAGTTGGGGGTGAGACCTGTGGGCCACGCCCCTGTCCACGCTGCAGTGTTGTCCAGCTTGGTCTCGTGCAGGCAACCACAGCTGCCGTGGTTCTCGAGCGAAGTGGCCCTGCCGTGGCCAGAAGGTATCATGTCACAGCAGTCTGCCATAACCTCGGCTTTGTACAATCTTCCTGCCTCCTCTTCTGAGCCTGGAGTGGGAGAAAGAGTGTGGTAGAGATGTCCCATTGAGGGCTGTGCCCAAGTGAGCTCTTGACCTCATGAGACTGAGTCTACTGGGGGAGACTGAAAGGTCAGCAAATGGTAACACTGCATGAAATGTAATAAAGAGGTGCCTGCGAGGGAAGTGGGCATGGAGACACAGTGTGTGGTGCTCTGTCACATAGAAAATTAAGCTTCCTGTGCAGTCTTGTGTCTTCTCTTTCCCTTGAACCTGGTTGGGTCTGTCACACGTTTCTTGCTGACAGAATACAGTAGAGATGACATCATGACTTATGCTTCATATTTTAAATCTCTTTGTTCCCTTATGCTGCATTCTAAGGAAACCTTTTCCTTTTATTAATAGTTACCCAGCTGCATCCATTGTTCCATTTATGCCCCCCCCCATCTCCAATTGATTCTTTCCCAATCCTTCTTCCAAACTTTCTGTTGGAGCATTAGCATTTCTCATTGGGCAGTAGTTCTCTTTGTTGTCTTGTTCTGACAGCTTCTGGGGAATGTTGGAGCATTACTGCTTTTGAACTCAGCTGTATGGCTCACCTTTCCTATCTGCCCATCTGTAAAGACTGTTATTTGGTTCTGTCATACTGCTGCTAATGATGGTGGGATGCTGGTGCCCAGCCAGGGACCTAATTGAGGATACATGCTTCTTCTGGGTCCTTCGAGCTGCCCATGTGCTGCGAGTCCCTCCCATCTCAGGCTCTGCTCCCCCTTCACACTGCTTGGGCTGGGCAGTGTCTGGCTGCTGGCACCAGTTACCAAATGTTTGGTCAGTTGTTCCAGCCCATCCTACTCTACTGTGCTCATCATTTTTGCTTCCTTCAATTTTGAAACTTGGTGATCACTCTCATGGGCACAGACACTCTCTTCCATGCATGTATTGTACTGGGACAACCTTTGGTTTTGTGGCATCTGTTTTCTATCCTTGTCCTGACATGAGTGACTAAGAAAAATGATGGGGAATGAAGACAACCTAGAATTAAAAGCTGGCATAACAGATAGGAAACTTGGATGATTTAGTTCAGAGAACTCAGACCTATTAAAGCCGTTTTGAAGCTTTAATATAGTAGAAATAAATGTAGGTCCTGAAAATTAGTTTTGAAAGAGCAATCACACCCACATAGAGTGGAGAAAACCTAGTTTGGTTGCAATTTGTCAGAGGAAAATCTGGAGCATGTGGCTCATTACAAGGTTCTAAGAGGCTCTGTACAGTCTGCTGAGAAAGAGCGCCTGTGTCATGCTGTTCTGTTGTTAGAGGTGAAACATTTTGACATGTTTAATTAGGTCCATTTGTGTGTCCTTTCTTAGATCTTTCCACATCCCTCACCATCCTTTTATTCAGTGTTAACACTGATCTTTTTCCTGTTGTTTTAAAATCCCCTTTGTTGCTACATATATTATACAGATTTGCTTAGATTATAATAGGGCATTTTATGGTGACTAGTGCCTTAGTGCCTATCAGATACTTAAGATTTAAAAACTGCCATCTATCCACCATCTATCTATCTATCTATCTATCTATCTATCTATCTATCTATCTATCTATCTATCATTACCTCTCTCTCTCATCTATCCCCATCTATCTATGTGTGTGTGTGTGTGTGTGTGTGTGTGTGTGTGTGTGTGTGCGTGTGTGCGCGCGCACGCAAGCCTGTGCACCTGTGCTGGAGCAGAGGCCAGAAGGGGGCATCAGGTGTCCTTTTCTATCACTCTTTTTTTTTTTTTTCAGGGTAAAAGCTGAAAGATCAGAGAAGCAGAGCAACCAGCCACTAGTTCTTACCTCTATGAAATCCTCAGCCTAAAGAGAAATTGTTCCTGTTTCCTCATGTCTTATATACCTTTCTCTGCCCTGCAATATTACTTCCTGGGATTAAATGTGTGTGTGTGTGTGTGTGTGTGTGTGTGTGTGCGTGCGCTTCCACTGCCTGGCTGTTTTCTCTCCTATACTAGATCAATCTCATGTAGCCCAGTGTGGCCTTGAACTCACAGAGATCTATCACTCTTCAATTGATTCCTTTGAAGCAGCATCTCTCCCTGAACTTGGGGTTCTTGTTTCCATGTCTAGTTGGAAGCCAGAAAGCCTCAGTGATCATCTCATCTTTACTTCCCTTGGAGCTGGAATTACAGCTGTGCCCATGTTTGTGTGTGTATATGTGTGTGTGTGTGTGTGTGTGTGTGTGTGTGTGTGTGTGTGTGTGTGTGTGTCCTCAGAGGCCAGAAGATGGTGTTGGATCCCCTGGAGCTGGAGTTACAGACAGTTGTGAGCTGCCAGTGTGAGTGCTGGGAACTGAACTCTGGTCCTCTGTAAGAACAGCAAGTCCTGTTAACTGTTGAGTCAACTCTCCAGTGGAGCCTTGCTGTGTTTGAATAGGTTATTTACTAGTGGGACAAGAAGCTGAGAGGCAGTTCCTGCCTGGAACTATATAGAGCAACTAGTCTGGGCCTGAAAGGGATGCCAAGGCTCTCTCTAAATCTCCTTATGCAGGAGATCTGCCAACAATTAAGCTCATAGGTATGCCAGGGCTTACTGGGTGAAGCTAACGCATACATGCCGCTGCTAAGAACCTTTTCATATTTCAGATATAGACTGGGGAGGATAGACAGTTCCTGCTTGGAAGGGCAGGTTGTCGGCCTGGTGGGTAGAGCTATGGCTTCTCTCACCCTTTCCAGTGGCTGCTGACCTCTTTTCTAGAGAGAAGGGTGCAACTCAGCAGAGAAAGACTCAGGTCTGGGGGTTTGTGCAAAGCTCTGGACTCATTCTTTGGAGGGAGAGGTGCTAACCAGTTGTCGGATTTTCTGGAGAGTTCTGAGTCTACCTGAGAGGGCAAAGGGGAACTAGAGGGAGAGAGACGGTGGTGTCGGCTTAAATAGCTTGCTAGGATCAAAGTGGAAAAAAAAAACCTTCTAGGTCAAGGACTGGTGCAGAAGCTGCTGAGCAGACTCAGCCAAGGGCAGAAACCAGAGGCGAAGGACAGAGGCTGAGCTGGAACCAGTTCTTCTATGGGAGAAATCCACAGCACAGACATCCTCGCAGACCCCACGGGATGTACCATATGCCTCATGAGAGAGGATGGGTCAGTTCTAAGAGATCCTGCTCTCCGTCCTCTTCCTTCCTGTGCTGGTTCACATCAGCTTGACACGACTGGAGTCCTCTGAGAGGAGGGAGCCTCGACTGAGAAGATGCCTCCCTCCCGAAGACTGGGCTGTAGGCAAGCCTGCAGGGGATATTCCTAATTAGTGATGGATGGGGGTGGGGTTGGGGGTGGGGGTGGGAGTGGGGTAGTTCATTGTGGGTGGGGCTGTCTCTGGGCCTGTAGTTTTGGGTTCTGTAAGAAAGTAGGCTGAGCAATTGACAAAGAGCAAGCCAGTAAGCAGCACCCCTCCAAGGCCTCTGCATCAGCTCCTGTCTCCAGGTTCCTACCTTGACTTCCCTTGATGGAGTGTGACTCAGTATATGCAAGCTTGCTTTTGGTCACGATGTTTCCTCACAGCAACAACCCTAACTAGGACACCGTCCTAGCACAAAGGAGGGAGAGAAGGAAGTGGCCAGAGCTAGCCAATACCACACCCACTCTGCCATTCCTTGGTGACACTTGACCTGAGGGAGAGCAGAGAACACAATGTTTCAGCTTAAGAGTGGATTTTTTTCTTTCTTGAGTTCTGAGACAGGAATTCATTATGTAGTCCAGGATGGTCTCAAATTCACAATCATCCTGCTTTGGTCTCTCAAAACAGAAAAAACCAAAACCAAAACCAAAAAACAACAACAAAACCCATCCAGGACAATTGACATACCAATATATTACTATTAAACTATAACCTTTTCTTTCTTGTTTATCCTCAAGATCTTATATTAATGTTAATATCACAATGTAAAACATTTCAACTTTTAAACATACCAATCTTCAGAAATCCCAACATTTTAAGAGTTCAGTCTCTTTAAAACAGCAAAAATTTCTGGGGCTGGAGGGATGGCTCAGTGGTTAAGAGCACAGACTGCTCTTTCAGAAGACCTGGGTTCAATTCCCAGAACCCGCATGTGGAACAAGCCAGTAAGTAGCACCCCTCCATGGCCTCTGCATCAGCTCCTGCCTCCAAGTTCCTGCCTTGAGTTCCTTCTCTGATTTCCTTTGATGATGGACTATGATATGGAGTTGTAAGTGGAAACAAACTCTTTCCTCCTCAAATTGCTTTTTGGTCATGGTGTTTTATCATAGCAATAGAAATCTAACCAAGACACTGTGGTTCCCATAAAGAAAATCAAGTACTTTCTTGATCCAAGCGGGAAGAGCTGGGGCGTAATCCCAACCAAATCAAAGCAAAACCAAGGTCCAGTAATGTAAAGCTCAGGGTCAGACCCCTGGGACTCATCAGTTATCTTCTGAGCTCTAAAAGGGCTTGAGCAGCCCCACCTCTCTGGCCCCGCCATCCACGTCCCACATAGTGCATCTCACAGGCTTAGCCTGACTTGACTCCACAGCTGCTGTCGTCCTTGGGTGTCACCCCACAAACACTGGGGTCTCTTCTGCAACTGGGCTGCGCCTTCACCAGCAGTCTCTCCTGGTCCTCTTCAGAGACTCTGACCCTGCCACATGGCTGCAGACCTCAACTTATTGCCATGAACCCTTCAACCCCATGGCTTCTGCTGCCACTCAGACTTCCCCTTTATGAAGGGCCTCCCCCGGTCTTTCCTGGTGCCAAGCCTCAGTTGCTCTCCATGATCCCTTCATGCCTTTAAACTTAGTACTACCTAGGAATCTCTTATACACTAGCAAGTCCAGCTGCCAGCATGGAGTACAGCCTTGGCCCACTCTGGAATGGCTTCTGCATATTGACCCTGAGGAAATATTTCCCAGAAGACTTGGCTTCCACTATGGTGGTCTCTCTTTAATCACAGTTGATTCTTCAGCTCCAGCCAACCACCACAGGCTCTTAATTCAAAATATTAAATGAATGACTTTGATAGAATCTTCCCTCTGAAACTTCACAATCCATGTCTACATTGCTTACATTACTCTCAGCATTTTTTTACTTTTTTTGAGGTTTTCTTTTTGAGACAGAATTCTATATGCAGTCTGGAACTTGCCATGTAGATCTCAAACTCATTGAAATCTGCCTGCCTCTGCTTCCCAAGTCCTGGGATCAAAGGTGTTCACTACCATGCCTGGCTTGTTCTCAATGTTCTTATCTTCCAAGTTCCCACAGACCAGACCACTAAGTTCTGAGCACTCAAGGGTTTTTCCAGACCAAAGTTCAAATGCTATCACAATCCTCTCAAAAACACATGTTCAGGTCTGTTACAGCAATACTCCATGACTTGGTATCAATTTCTGTCTTGAAGTTTCTATTGCTGTAATAGAATATCATGACCAAAAGAAACTTGAGGCTGAAAGAGCTTATTTCATTTTACAGTTCTCAGGTCACAACCCATCACCAAGAGAAGTCAGGACAGAAACTCAAGGCAGGAACATGGAGGCAGAAACTGAAGCAGAGGTCATAAAGGGGTGCTGCTTACTGGCTTGCTCCCCATGACTTGCTCAGCCTGCTTTCTTATAGAACCCAGGACCACCTGCCCAATGATTGCACCACCCACAGTGGGATGGGGCCTCTCTCATAGATCATCAACTGAGAACAGCCTCCACAGACTTGCTCACAGGGAATCTTACAGAGGCATTTTTCTCTGTAATAGAAACGGAGGTTTCTCTTCCCAGATAATTATAGTTTGTATTGAGTTGACAAAAACAAATAAAAACAAAAGTAAACCAACACCAATCGGGACAGTCAATGTGTGTGCACGATGTATTTGTGTGGTAGCATAAATATCAGGGTAAGTGTATGGAGGTAAATGGCCACATTTCAGAGTTGGTTCTCTCCTTCCACCCTTACATGGGTTCTGGGGATTAAACTCATGTCATCAGGCTTACAGGACAAATAAGTGCCTTTTCCTACTGATCCAACTTGCCAGACCCCAATGAATTGTTTTAGATAATGATATGCTAAGACATATATATGATTGAGTCATGACTTGGTCTGTGTCTAACCAAGAGAGAGAATGCACACAGCAATCTGAACAGGCGAAGTCTAATACACAGAATTCCCTAGGAACCCTGGGGAGAAGTTCAGTGGGAGAGTACAGGGGCAGCATTTCCGAGGCCCTGGGCTTCACCCCCAGGGACAGCAAAAAAACAACAAAAACGTTAATTTGAGCAGGGAATGCAGAATGAGATTAACAAGAAGGAGAAGCCTTTCTTCTTTTTTTTTAAATTTTTTTAAAAATTTTTTATTTTTTTATTTTATAGTTTAATTTAATTTTACATATCAGCCACAGATTCCCCTGTCCTCCTTCCTCCCGCCCCCCTGCCTTCCCCCCAGCCCACACCCCATTCCCATCTCCTCCAGGGCAAGGACTCCTCTGAGGATTTAGTTCAGCCTGGTAGATTCAGTTGAGGCAGGTCCAGTCCCCTTCTCCCTTCACCAGGCTGAGCAAAGTGTCCCTGCATAGGCTCCAGGTTCCAAATAGCCAGCTCATGCACTAAAGACATGTCCCGGTCCCACTGCCTAGGGGCCTCTCAAGCAGTTCAAGTTAATCAACTGTCTCACTTATCCAGAGGGCCTGATCCAGTTGGGGGCTCCTCAGCTATTGGTTCATATTTCATGTGTTTCTACTAGTTTGGCTATTTGTACTCTGGTGATTGGAAGGCCAAACACTCTGTCATGCTAAAACTCTCATTCAATGACTGATGAAAGCGGATGCCAGGCCCCAGGTGGAACTCCAGGAATCCAATCGGCAAGAAAGAGGAGGGATTGTATGATCGAGAATTGTTGAGACCATGATTGGGAGAAGCCTTTCTAGGTAGTATATAAGAACAGTAGCTGTAAAGAGCAGCCCAACCAGGGCTGAAGCATCTATGGCAGGCTCTCCCCATCCTGAGTGTGTACAAAGGTTAAAGAATGCACATCTGGGCATTAAAAACTTGTATAGCTTGATTTTACATTTTCCCTTATTATTCCTTTGAAATGTATACATGTAGGGGCTTGGTAGGTCTGAGAACTAGAGTTTGAGTCCACAGAACCCAGTTTTCTGGATGGGTATGGTGGCCTCAGAAGGTGGAGATAAGGGGATCTCTGGGATTCCTCAGAGAAAGCTGGCTATTGAGCTATCCATATCATTGAGATCTGAGTTTGACTGAGAGACCCTGCTTCAAGGAATAACATGGAAGAGCAATCCCAGACAGTTCCCGACATCAGCTTCAGGTGTGCACATGCAGGTGCTTCTATGTACAGGTGCACACACATGCATACTGCACATTTGCACAAGTAGACACGTATGAAATTGGGGAAATGGGGAAAATATGCATATGCAGAAGTATATAAATTATTGCTGCCCTGAGTGGAAGCAGGACCCAGATATTAACTAGTCATGGCTGGACCATGAAAACAGGAAAGGTGAGAGTCCAGAGCAGCAGTTGTTAATCCACAGTCAGAATGAAAGTGAGATCAATTCATAAGCTTGGCTTTTGCTGTGGAGTCTAGTAGACCCACACTGGGTTCCTTTTGGAACTAGTTGCCAAGGACTGGAAGGTACCTGCCCGTTGGCATGCTTCTCCAGGAACAACTTCACCTCAGCCTGAGCTCGGGTCTCCACTGTCAGCAGCACCTGCCTCTACTGATGCCTCATGTTCTTCTTCATGGATTCTGTAAAGTAGATGAACCCCCCAGGCTGGGGAGCCACTGTACCTGCAAATGTTAGAATGTGTCTTATTTGGGGCTATTTCCAAACAGGTCATTTACTGTACTTCTCATGTTCACATGGGAGTTTGTAAGTCCTCATAGAGGGTTTTACACAAAAATCTCCACGTGTCATACATAGCTTTAGAAACAAAATGTAAGCAGTGAGTAAGTTTTATCTGTGCTCTGCTGGTGCTGGAGACTTCAGCTTTAAAGTGTAAGTCAGCAGGGGCTGGGGAGATGATGGCTCACTAGTTAAGAGCACTGGCTGTTTTTGCAGAGGACCTGGGTTTAGTTCCTAGTGCCCACATAGTAGCTCACAGTTGTTCTTAGTTCCAGTCACAGGGGATTAAACACCCTCTTCTTGCCTCCAGGGGCACTGCGTACATGTGGTGCACAGACACACAAACAGGCAAGACCCTCATACACATTAAAAAAAGATCTAGGGCCAGCAAAATGTTTAGTGGTAAAAGATGCTGCTGACAAG